TTCCAAGCCACCACAATCTTCTATTCTCCTCATCTCCGTCTTCGACAAGCAACTACCAATCAACAACCAGTAAACAAAACCCAATATGAAACAACCAAAACCCACTCTTTCGACTTCCTCCAGACCCACATCACGAATAGTGTCCATCCGCCTCCGCGAAATCCCAACTCTGATAGACCGGAGGAAATCAACAACGATGAATTAGAGCTCCAAGATCCAGTAATTCCGACAATTTTTTAGATCTGACTATAAAATAATGCTCCGATTACCTATATTTAATCATTGTTGTGTTCTTGTGTTTTTGGATTCATAGTCATTATTACATTATTTTCGATATTGTTGGGTTGTGTCGGATGATTTTGTTGTTTTTGAAAATGAACACAAGTTTAAAGATGAAGATGAAAAAAATGGGTTGTATTTTCAGGTCGGGTTGTGGATAATTTAAATAAAATTGGGTAATTTTAATTGATTTGGGGCTTTTCATCCAATTGAGGGGCACAAATGGTGAAATTAGTGACGGTAGGAGTAAATATAACTTCATTTTAACGGTAAGGGAATAGTCAACCAATAAAATAAAGTTGAGGGGTATTTTTAACCCTTTTACCTAAATAATATATTAAAAGACTCAAAATAACGAGAGGAGCTCATATTTAAAATTTGGAATTGTTTAGAGGAGATTTGAGTTGATCGAGATTTTAGAAAATTAGCTTGTGTAGGGAAGATGAACTATTAAAGATTATAAATATTGTATAAACAATGTACATGGATGTATGTACATTTATGATACATAGTTATATATCATATATACTCGATTATACACTATTTATACAATACCAATTCATTACATATACATACACTCATTAATTGAAACTATTTTGGGCCAATGGTATATTTATGCAATCCCTTTAAAAAAGGCAGGTGTCTTATGCCTGCAAATTCAAGGGGGGCTATTATGTGCAAGTAATAATAGGCTATATGTTTTTTTTAAGAAAAAATATTGAGTACCGATTTTTTTGGTTTATTGAGTACTTTTTGTAGAAAAAGTAAAGTTTTCATATACAAAACAAATATTATTAGGAGTTTGACACATCTAGATTACTATGTCTCAAGAGAGATGTATTATCAATTGAAAATGAATTATTAGGAAAAAATAATTAATTATGAGAAAACTATTAATTTTGCATCTCAAAAAGCTAGAAGGACATACTTTATAAAAAATATAATATTTTTTGAAAAAGTTTAAGGCCTCTTTGTATTTTGCTTTAGGCCACTAGTGTGCTTGAGCCGCCTTGCTAACACGTAATAAGACCAAAAAAAAACACAAGTAGGGACAATGGGATAGGGCAAGTTTGAGCTTTTGCGGAGGCATGGTGAGGTGGATTCAATTTTTAAAAAATAATCAGGTACGGCGAGGCAGGGCGAGTTTGCAGGTTGCAAATTGAAATCTTAAACTAAAACTAAAACATAAAATCTAAAATCATTTCAATCAAGTTGTTATTCATTAGGATTCCTTAATATCAATCCATATATTCCAATTGTTTTTAATGGTTTTTTTAGTTTACTAATTGTCAATGTTAAATCAAACATAAACTACTTTCACTATTCGAATTAGATATTCATCAATAACTATAAGAAAGAGTAGTAAAAGTTGTAAGGAAAAAATCATTTATAAATTCTAGTCTAATATGACCATTCCAAAAGAAAACATTATAACCATTTTGAAAGGAGCCAAGTTAGCAAATGAGACCTCTTTCATGTAAATATTATTTTTTTCAAGCAGAATAAGGAGAAGAATTCACATATTGCTCCCATAAAGTCAGAGTCTTCACAACTTTATGCAGCTTTGCCTCGCCCAGCCATTTGCAATCGCTAAACAAAAGATACCTTCTCACAGAAGTCAAGTTTCAGAAGGTTGGCATTTCTTACATCTGTTTAGAAGAATATTGTATATCACATGTACAAGTTCAACCCAAAAATTTGCATATCACTTGGCACCAAAGCTGCAACCAACATAATTTTGGGCAATTATGTTAAGACGATTTTGCATGACATCCATAGACGGATAAGGAGGAAAACACAGGCGGTAAAAGCACGTGTGCAAGGAAGGCAAGCAATCATGAGAGTTTGAAGTTCAGTAGATGTAAAGTTTAGAATCTAAAGTTTAGAATCTAGACCACCAAAACCCTCAATAGGCAGAGACTTGATTGAAGTCCAGAAGAAGAGAAGCACATTTCTCTGCTCAGCCGACATACTTCCAACTATCTGCAGCAACAGAAAAGAAAACTTTGAAAATGTTGTTGGGATAATAACTTTGAAAGAGTTGAGAAATCTACCACATCCAAAAACGAATGAAGAAAGAGAAAATCAAAGGGGCAAAGGTGTAGACTTCTCGATAGTTAATACTCTGGAAATATAATTAAAGCAAACAACAAATAAGTACCTCCCAGGACCAGGATATTTGAGGATCATTTTTTTGTAGCCATTGTAATTTGTATGTTCTTTCCAGTCTTCTACAGAAACAACAATTTTACTCCCATGAAGCATCATGTTAAGGTCTTCATGATCTAGGATCCGGAACAAGGATTTCTGAAGCCGTCGATCAGTAATTATGTCAGCAAAACCACGATCAAAATGGGCTACATGATGAGCAATTGATGTGATAAAACGGTGTTTAACAAAAGATTAACATAGTTATTCCTATTCTCACTATTCACTATCGTATTTTTCCCATTAGGGCAAACTCCACAACTTTCCTGGATCCCAATTCTTTCATCTTCACAAACAAATGTTAGGCCTAGGATATCTCCATCCACCATCTTCGTATCCATCTCCAGTATCTTCTTGCAGCCACTGTACAAGTAGGGATCTGCATCCCTAATGTCTTCAAACGAAATATCCTCTCCTGCTAATTGCAAAAATACCACACGATCAAACGCAATGCTTATTTATACTCTATGCAACAAGGCCAACGCAATCATCATGTCGGAGAAGATAAAATACTCAAGGTGCAAGGGGTCCACCTTAGATACTGCAAGCACAGAATGCAGATGAGGGTTTTTTGCGTTGTAACAGAGAGAATAATATTACTTTTCGTGAAACATCAAAAGATTGTATCGAACAACCTCAACCATCTTATAAATGCAGCTGTGCAAGATTCATCCTAATCTAGAGAACTCTGATGGAGTAAATTCCCAGTTGTTATAAACGAACAAAAAATAATAATACAACTAGTAACTACTCATTCTTATGCCATACAACCCAATTACACTAATGCAGCTTCGTTGAGAAAGATATCTAGGTAGAACTGCTATGGCCATAAATAAGACTTGAACTCTTTCAATCGTTACTTCATGAATTTCATCTGATTGCAAGGTGTTATTGGAGAATCAGAGAACGAAAGGACATTAACAATAACACAATAAAATATACTAACATGAGAAATAAATTGAGACAAAATCAAATTTAAAATCTCAGCATGTTAGAATGGCTAAATCTCCTCAAGCTGGCATTATAAATATATATCAGCATCTATTCGTGCACACACCAACTTTCACTCCCTTAAATACATCAGGTGTCGCATATTTACAACATACTTTAGGGATCCGGCCAGGCACAATGAATGCTGAAACCTATTTCCAACATCCAACAAATCCAGACAATAACATAGTATCGAGAAGAAATCAAATCCAGAAAATATATTAAGTAAAAGCCTTGAAAGTCCTATAGAAAGAGACATTGCTCAAAAACTTGTAACGGAAGGATGAAAATTATTGGAAAAAGAGACAAAAGGAAACAAAAACTTAGCTTTTCTGCAGGACAGTAAATGAACTTATGAAGTCTAGTATGGTTTCACTGTGATTTACATTTACCATGAAACACCAAAAATTATGTATTTGAGTTCAAACCAAGAGTATGTTCTTTCTTTTTCAGCGATGTATCATTGAATCTTCTCTCTAGATGATCCACAAGATTGCTGCTGAAATGGTATCCCAAGTCTTTATTATAAGATATCATTTGTACTGACCATGTAAGAAACTCTGCTGCAGTCTTGTCATGATCCGATCCTAACCCTAGCATGTTAAAGATCCTGCTCCATATATGCGCTACTTTTTTGCAATGGGGGAAAAGATGATTCATCGAGAAATTATTCTATCTGAGATATACCTCCTTGGCAAACTACAGAAGGGAAAAACCTACCTTTGATCAAGAGTGTATAGAAAGACTTAATAGTAAATAGACCATTTGTTTGTCCTTCCAAATCACAATACTAGGCATGGGCAGTAGGTTGGGGCGGCTGCTCAGTTGTGCTAAAAGTTGTCCTAATTGTTTCTTCCTTCTTTTGGGTCGGCTACATAGTTAAAGAAATCTGATAAGGGGAGTGTGGCAGCAATTTGATACATGAAAAGATGCTAAGCAAACTGAAATTCCATTTTTAGCAGGTATTATCTTTCCATATCAAGATCTTTTTTTCCCTATCCTCAACCCTTGAATAATGAATAGTGCATGTCTCTGTAGTTCCTTCCATAAACCTCCAATATGTGTCCTCATTCCTTTATCTTTAGTTATACAAGTTCCATTTGTCTTACCATTACTTTAAATAGATTTAATGCACTTTGGAATTACTTATGTAGCAACGAATTAGTAAAACCCTCAGACATGGGTTTCATGAAAGAGACGAACCTCAAAGAATGCTATGAGGGTATGAACAGCAACATCAAGCAACCTTACATGGTTTACATAAAGAGAGATAATACGTATACTCATACTCACAAAGATTCAACCTCTATCTCATACTATTTATCTATTTTTGAGGAAAAATCAAATAAGAAACATCTTTCATACTCGACAACTTTAGATCAAAAAACTGACAGAAGGGATATATGAGAACAAAATGCCAACAAAATCTTACCTGGATTTGGGAAAAACCTTCTGCCTTCATTTGGGCATGAAACAAATAGAGCATTCTGAAGGTTGAAAATGGCTTGCCATACCAAGGAAAACTACTCCCTCAACACACCAGGCCCCGTAGCTTCTTCATTCTCAAATTGCATAAATAACTGGCCTCGCAGCGACCTAGGACTCGCATGTCCAATGTACTCAAATGATTCTTCAAAAAAACGAGACCTGCAAATGAGCATCTCGTAAAACTCCTCGTTCTTGTGCCTCCCTTCTCGAAGCATCTTCAAGGCAAAACGTTGCCTTATCTTAAAATGTGTTACCTCCTTGTGCTCAATAATCCACTGATAATCTATAGACTTTTTTGACAGTCTAACTATCAGAAAGCACAATTCAACCCTTCTTTGCCTCATCTTCTCCCAAAACATTTCCTCCAAACCCTTATACAACTTTGAAATGCTTTCTAACTTCTTTAGAATCAAAAGATACTGGGACCAACAGCTTACAATAGGCTCACCTCTTTCTTTGTTTATCAAACCCAACTGGCTTTCCAGTTTCTTTAGACATAACTCTAATTTTTCCAGCAAGTCCAAAAAACCACGATGCACGCCTTCAATCTCCAATCTTTCATTTCCTGCTCCACCTTGCATCAAGGAAGGGAAACTGACCAGAATGTCGAATGCTTCTTGATGCCGTATTGCACTCTTTACCAGATGCATAAACTTAATAAACTCGTGCACATTGCTTTTTGATAACTCTATAAACTCAGTCGATTGCACACTCAATTCTAAAGCACACGATAACCTTGTTGTCATCTCATGAACAAAAGGGAAAACATCATGCAATCTTAACACATACTTGACATTATGGACATACCACTCCATCATTGCAGCTAAACTACTCCGGCAAAATATATACAATGCATCATCAACACCCACAGCCCCTCTAAGAATCTTACAGAACTCAAACAATATAGGAGCAAACAGCCTATATACGGTTACAGGGTTGACGAAAAGTGTCTTACCTGAATCTACAAATTGATGAATACATTCATGAGCAGGTTGTTTCTTAGTTACAGAAAGAGATACATAAAGTTTTACCAGAGCCGCAGGAACAGAGGAGTGAATAAATATCTGGATATATTCCTCCGATTTATCTACGCCATCTTTTGGGGTCATTTCGAGAAAATTGGTAAGCATCTTCATCATACGGGTGACATTAACATTAATATATATGTTGTCATTGCAGTTGCAGAGGTCATGAATAGGCGAATTTAAGTCATTTATTAGCTTCCACGTGTAAGGATGGCGCGAGTTGCGCATTCTCCCGACGAGTTGTAGGGTAATGTCATCTTGTATACCATATTCCGATAATTGTTGGGCTAACTGAAGCTTTTTCCCGCGGTAGATTAAACGTTATTCAATTGCTGGTACACTGGAGGTCAATTGGATCGGTCGAATTCCGATGATCGACTGAATTTTCCGGTGAACTGATGCAACTGTATCGGACGAATCAACTTGAATAACCAGGGTTTTGCCGCTGAAAAACATACGGCCGAAGAATTGAATGGGAGTTTTAGAGAAAGAGGGAGGGTTTAGTCATGAGTCATCCTGGCTGCGCCGGCGACAAAATAATCATGGAGGCGTTTGGTGCTAGTTTTGTGAGGCAACTGATACGCCATGGTAAGTGCAGATGAGCAAGAAGAGAGAAGAGTTTTGAGCTCTGATATGTTATATAAGAAACAAGGAGTCTTCAGGTGAGAGGTGTAGTTAGACAATATTTGTATGAGATCCTCTCATACTTTGCCAAGTGTAGTTTGGGTCCCACTACAAAAAAAAAGGCTAAAAGGCTCCATTTTTTATTCTCTTTCGCCTATTCAATATTTTCTTCTTCTCTTTTTCCCTTTCTTTTTGAAATTTTATATTTTTCGTATGAATTATATTTATTTATCAAAAGTTGAAACTTAATATTTTTGGTAGGATTAGCTGTGATTTAGTTTGGACCATTTTTCAATAAATTAATTAATTTGTTTTTTTTCAAATGTTGAAATCAAGTCAAATTAATTAAGTCAGATTTTTTATCACTTTATTTTTTATTTTATTTTTTTGCAATTTGGTTTTTGTCGACTTTTAGAAAATATATGATAATATAAAAAATTGATCTAGTTATATATAGGATCCTTCAAAAAAAAATGTTTTAGCATTATCTAAGAATTTAATCATTACTAATAAATATGATAAATTCGTTCCAACGATTTTTTTGTCAAAAAGTTAAAAATTTAGCTGCAATATACTATGTCTTGATGATGTTTGATTTAAATAAAAATAATCAATTAAAAAACATGAGTTATTTTGAACATGAAAATGCACTCTTGACAATCAAGATAAAAATATAAATTAAATTACGAAGTAAATGCAAACAATTTGATTATTATAAAGAGAAACACATGAATAGAACAAAGTGGTTTTAAAAATTAACAAATATATATATATATATATAGACAGAGAGTGAGAAAATTATAATTAGTACGGACCATTAATTAGTAGAACAATATGATGAAAAATTCTACATTAAAAAATCAATGTATAATCTTTTTATAAATGAACACAAAAACGAATAACTCCACAAAATATCTAAATTATCATATTCCTTATATATCATTCTATAAGATACTTACAGGAATATAAAATTTTCAATTTTATGAAATTAATACGAAAATTTTTACATTTTTTTAATTGTAACTTCAATTTCTTTCAAGAATTAAATTGAAACACAAAGTTGTTATCAGAACTAATTTCAAAGAAGAATTACACGCAAAACTTCCCCAAACCTTCTATAAAAGGATTGAGAAGATGCAAGACCTCTAAGTTTCATGAACCCACAATAAAAAAAAAGGATAAATAATTTACAGATGATGTCATTTATCCTTTATCAACTGGAAATGGTGATTACCGAGCGACTCATACTAATACAAATGTCCCTTGTATGATGAAGATGCTTATCATGTTTTTCACTATGACCCTAAAGGATGAACTGGAAAAGGTGAAGTAGGAAAAGGTAAGGCATCAAGAAGCATTTGGCAGTTCGATCAGTTTCGCTTCCTTTATGGAAGGTGAAGTAGGAAATGAAAGATTTGATATTGAAGGCGTGCATCGTGTTTATTGTGACTTGTTGGAAAAATTGAAGTTGTGTCTAAAGAAACAGGAAAGCCAGCTGGGTTTGGTAAACAAAGAAAGAGGTAAGTTGGTCCCGGTATCTTTTAACTCTAAAAGAGTTAGAAAGCATTTCAAAGCTGTATAAGGGTTAATTTGGAGGAAATGTTTTGGGAGAATTTGAGGCAAAGAAGAGTTGTGTTGTGCTTTCTGATAGATAGACTTTCAAAAAGGTCTACAAATTATCAGTGGATTATTGAGCACAAGGAGGTAAGATATATTAAGATAAGGCAACATTTTTCCTTGAAGATGCTTCGAGAAGGGAGGTACAAGAACAAGGAGTATTACGAGATGCTCATTTGCAGGTTCCATTTGTTTGAAGAATCAATTGAGTACATTGGACATGCGAGTCCTCGATTGTTGTGAAGCCAGTTATTTATGCAATTTGAGAATGAAGAAGCTACGGGCCTGGTGCTTTTTTATTCATTCTTACATTGCAGGAATAAATTGCCTTGCAACGATCTAGGATCCACATGTCCAATTGACTCAAATGATTCTTCCAACAAATGGGACCTACAAATGAACATATTGTATAGCTCCTTATTCTTGACTTTCCCTTCTTGAAGCATCTTCGAGGAAAAACATTGTCTTATATTAATTGAGTTACCTCTATGTGCTAAAGAAACCACGGATAATCTCTAGACATTTTTGACAGTCTAACTATCAAAAAGCAGAATGCAACTCTTCTTTGCCTCTTCTTCACCTAAAATCCTCCAAGCCCTTATATAGTTTTGAAATGCATCTTAACTCCTTTATAATTGCAATATACTAAGACCAATAAAGTACAATGGGTTCACCTCTTCAGTTTTTATCGTTAGCTTTACTATTTCATTAGACACAATGACTCTAATTTGTCCAAGTTACAAACTACATGATCCACACCTTCAATCTATATTTTGTAATTGAACATCTCAAATCATTTCCTTCCTGCTTCAATCTTACCTTGCTTCAATAAAGGGGAAACTACTATGACAACCTAATGTCTTGACGCCATATTGTACACTTCACGGGATGTATTAATTTGATAAACTCATTCACATCATCACTACCTCATAACCCTATAAACTCAACTGATCACAAACTCATGAACAAATGGAAAATATCCTGTAATATTAACACATTCCTAACATCATACCACTTCATCATAGACGCTAAACTATTACAAAACAATATATACAAAGCATCATGAAAACCAACAATCCCTCGAACAAATTTACAAAACTCTAACAATATAGGAGCACTGTCAAGACCCAACCAATCAGGCTGTGTAGGCACCTATTTTAGCATTTCTGTAGATTGTTCAGTTTATCCTCGTTGTTATCTATCAGAGGTTAGTTCCATGCCCCCTCAGCTTTTGTAACTTTTTGGATTTTATACACATGGTGCTCAAAGATATAAAAAGTATAGAAGAAGAAGACAACCGACACCACCTTAGAAAATGTCCTTGGTCTGATATAAGCCTCTTAGTAGATAGCTCCTTCAAGGTTCAGTAAAGAACCATGAATATTCTATGTAAATTGTTGTGCTAAAGAGGAAATAACCTCTAGCAAGTTGGAGAATTAAAAATCAATGATTAGTTTATAGATAAAGTATCAAAATACCCTAAAGGTATTTAGACAATAATACAAACACATAAATAAATTATAACATTCACTAGTACATGTACTCTCTTAAATTAGAACAGATTCATTGCGGTGATATATGCACCTCCCTTTAATATATGTCCACATAATGTTAAAACTAAAAATATTGTATTCGGGGATCAAGGTGAAACAAGAAACTTAAATGCATCCATATAGAGAACGACTCACCTTTCTTACACCTTGGTGGGATAATTGGAACTCAAAGACCAACATAGAATACTATATCTTCAATGCTTCTTTAAATTGATTGAGTATTGCAGTTTACCAATGGCTGCATTGGAGGATTCCTCATTAAGAGATGAACAAGTTTGAAGATTGTCTCTCACTGATTGCGTATTGTTAAAATAAAATCTGGTTTATTGGGTCCAAGAGTTTCATCTAAAAGTAAACATCTCACTAAGATTATCAGACACACCTAAACTCGTCTTCACTTAAATCCTCATTTCCACACCGTATATCACTTTTATGATCAAGTTTATAAGTACTTGAGGCAACCTTAAAGTTGGAATTGTAGAGAGGGACAAACCAATTGTCTTCCTCTGGAAAGAGGTAACATTGTCCTGAGAAATTTTCACACAACAAAAGGCCAACAATAACATAAAACGTCAGGTGAGGAAAACCACACAAAGTTGTTATCAAAACTAATTTCAAAGAAGAATTTAACGCTTAACTTCCCCAAACCTTCTATAAAAGGATTGAGAAGATGCAAGACCTCTAAGTTCCATGAACCCACAATAAAAAAGGATAAATAATTTACAGATGATGGCCTTTCTCTTTCATTAACCGGAAAAGGTGATTACCGAGCGACTAATTCTACTACTAATGTCTCTCGTATGATGAAAATGCTTATCATGTTTCTCACAATGACCGTAAAGGATGACACTAGTAAATTTGAGGAATATCTCCAAATATTTAGTCACTCATTTGTTCCTGTGCCTCCTTCTATATTTAGCAAACAAGCTGCTCATGGATGCATTTGTAAATTTGTAGATTCATGTAAGACATTTTTCACCTACCATGTAACCGTATATAGGTAGTGTGCTCCTATATTGTTAGAATTTGTAAGCTTCTACGAGGGGTTGTATGATGTTAAGAATATTTTAGGATTGGAGAATGCTTTTCATTTGTTCGCGCATTGGCAACAAGGTAATTGCATGTTTTAGAATATACTGTGCAATCAACTCAGTTTATGAGGTTATCAGGTAGCCATGTGTGTGACTTTATCAAGTTTATGTAGATAATAGCAGAACAAAAGTATAATTAGGAAGGTCGATTGTTGATTTGTAAATATCTAAGTGTGATCAGATATGATTTTGTAGGATT